AACAGATACATTTTGGCGCGAACACCTCCCTTTTTGTTCGGTAGACGTGCACGACGGCCCTATATTCGGTAGTTTGTACCTGAATACACCATACCCCAGATAGGAATCCCGTGGATCTCATTCGTATGAAAACTGACTTTGTGAACACTTTGGCTCCACGGCGATTAGACTGTGTGCATAGGATCTGAGCGCTATTCGGTACTTTGGTGCGCTCAGATCCTAGCTATCTGGGGACATGTTGAATGCCTGTAAAATGTTGTAATATGTAACAGTTATGTATTTTTATGTCTTTTGTTATTTTCATCTAAAATGGCGTCTAGGCTCTGTCCTGCAAGATAATTGAATTACTTCACAATTATCTCCTTGAGCAGAGCAGAGGGTTCTGGGTAAGAAAAGGGGAATGGCTAAGTGTGTACCCTGTGATTGGTTGCTACAATGTCCTTGTCACAGTCTTCCATCTGGTCCCCTAGGGGAGTGTCCATCAGGTGGGAGACCTGCATAAATACTGGGCAGGTAGCCCTCATTAAACAGACCACTGCTTGACCCTCAACACAGAGCTCTGTCTCGTTCTTGTGGGGATTTACTGTATGCTGATAGAGACTGATTGCTAGGAGTGTAAGCCGCTTGGGTGCTTTTCCTATTTGTCTGCTAGCAGCTATTTATGAGGTTCCAGTTCGGGAGTTTGGAGTACTATTTTCTATGCAGTTCGGGAGCATTCCCTTATATGCGGTTCGGGAGTTTGGTGTTCTGCAGTAGCTGTGCCTGTATCTCTGGAAGGGGAAGATCTACTAAACGGCGGTTTAACCCTTTTCTGCCTGGGGGTGCCGTTACAGTGAATATATGCAGTAAGAAATTATTAAAACTATTAGTGACAGGCAGCACATTGCTGTGTGTCAGTAATGTCTGCCATTTTCTTCCCTTCCCTTGTCCTCCCTGCTTGATATATTTAATAATTATATATTTTAGTAAATTGCCTTGCTTAATCAGCCCTCAGGAAGGCACTGGGGCTATTGGGAGAGAGACAATGATAATATTCTACACTTACATTTGAGAGAGGACAGGACTACTGCTGCTGTGCTCTTCCTGTGTTACTTCTAATATGGCGTTTTGCTTCTCTCTGGTGTGGGGACTGTACCCCACACCATGATGCTATGAGCCAATGATTGCCCCTGAATAGGAAGGCCAATTGCATGTAGCAATAGCAATAGCTCCACTCATAGGCAACTGGCTCTGCTTTCCGAATGGCAACTCAGTCAGTGGCCCCTGAAATTCCATCATAAATGAGACAAAGCATGTTCAAAGACTGCTGATACAGACAGATTTCAAACCTGTCCCATCTTTTTGACATATCTAGATACTCTCAAGAAAGCCTCTCCAAACAGCTACCAGGGGCCCTACAGAACTGTAACCTATCACCCATAAAACATCTCTTAATCACAATCCCTAATCCCACTTTAGAGGGATTCCCTCTGCTGACATCACTACTGACTTTAGCAGGGGTATTTCCTAGCACACAGCACAGAAGATTTCCTCTCATGCTGCAGCTCGCTGACAATAGGCGAAACAGCAGCATTTTAAAATATACCGAATATGAACACAATCTCTCAACTGCAGTATTTAAATTAATTTAAAGGACTATGAGCAGTGCTTACTTTGAGTCCCGCACATAGCTCATCATTCAGTCTTCGGTTACTAACTGTGGCCCCAGCTGACAGAGGGGACCTCCAGGTATCAAAAAATAGCATGTGGTCCACTTTTTAATTTTTTTGAACTGAAGGTTAGGGGTAGAATCAGAAATTCCGCAACTGAGGGAGATTGCTCAGGGACGATATTTAAAAGCATTTAAAGGGCTATGGGCAGCTCTCACTTTGAGTGCTGCACATAGCTCATCCGTCAGTCTGGGGTCACTTACTGTGGCCCCAGCTGACAGAGGAACCCTGAGGTATGGAAAGATATCTGGTGTTCCTTGAGACCAGCAGGAATGTAACCACTGCTGGTATCTTTACTGCATGACGGTCTATGCTGTCAAGCCCTGCAAGTGTTTTTTACGAGATTACATATTGGGAGATACGTGATAATATATTATATCTAAAATCCTGCATCCCTCCAATATTCCTGTAAAGAATGAACAAATCAACGAAAAGTTAAAATGGTAATTTTTTTTTATCCCTTTACATGAAATTGTTGTATTTTACAATGTCTGAGTGCTTGAAATGAACCCTATGTTTACCAAGTAAATGTTTTGCTTTTAACAAAATAATGTTGTACTTAAGAGGTTAATCCTTTTTTTTCTCATTTAAACAGAAAAGTCAAAGAAAAGGTGCTGCTGATTTTGTTAAAAGCAAGGGAACCGATTAGGACCTCTTGGATTTGTTTTAAATAGTGTCATGAGAGAAGGAACATTTATATACTGGCTGCACAATTCTAGTGAACTTGTTCGCAAGCCTGTTTGAAAGCACTCCTCTGTTCTTTTCCAATGTCTCCTCTGTACTGCATCTAATGTGCACTTGTGACCTCAGTTGAGCTGACTCTCCTCCTACGTCAGAAGACTTGATTAATTCAACAGCTGCGTGGAATCTTGCAAAGTCTTTCCCATGCTGGGGCAAGATCTGTTTGCTGGAACAGTTTTAAGTTAGCGAGCAGAGAATGCTGGATGATGTAAATTGCATATTTATTCAGGTGCTTCCAAGTAGTATTGGGCTTAAAGGAACACTATAGGAATACAAACCTGTATTCATAACGCTAGAGTGCCTATATCCCTAGTGATGTTCAAACACACTGTTTTCCATAAAAACGATTGAAATATAATTTTTACCTATCTTTTTTGAGAATTCATTGCTTCTTCCATTGCTGATCCTATTCAATTCTCCTCATTGAGGGGACCTGATGCGTCTTCTCATAGGTTGTCAGTATAACAGCCATTATTGGTGTATTTGGCCCTTAAAGGTAAACACTGACCCTTTCTGTAAAACAGAAATGTTTTAACTTGAAGGGTTAAACATACAAAATCCACTGTACTTTAGTGGCCCTTGAAAAGTACGTTAAAATATGTAGTACACACACGTGTACAACACAATATAAAGAATCGGACACAAACACACATACCAACATACAGGTGTGAGTATGCATAAATAACACCTTGGAGAGAGCATGTTACAACAGTAAACAAATTGCTAAATATTTTACAACAGATTTAAGATTTTGTAAGCTGACAGGTAAAGAGGGACAAATATTAAAAATGTAGTTAAATTATGGTGACCTACTAAGGCAAGCTATTTACAGGGATATAACACAAAGCAATCATCTACCCCTGGGTTTGAGTGCGGTTTCTGTCTCTACACACTGATTTTTCTAAATTTAACAGGTGCCAGAAATCCTGGTCATAGCATAAAGTAATTGAAGATTATGCTAGCGCAGTGTACTGATAATCTTAATTTTAATAATGACAGGAGGCGAATATTTGCATTAACTTTCTTTACTAGCTCCATAGCAGCAAAGAAAAAACTCTTAAAGAAAAGAACCAATCAGAATGAAACAGAGGATATATAAGCCCATGCATAGCCCATCATTTCCTCTTGAGTAATGCGACATCACAAGTCCCAAAGAAAAATGACAAACGTGTCAGATCCAACTTGATTCAGCTTGACGTAGTTAATTCACTGTTGAGAACGGGAAGAATTTTCAGTCTCTCCATCCTCCATGAAGCTTGTTAAACTGAAAGGAAAGAGAGACTAGTATCAGTGATACGGAATTGACCGTAGACCCCAAATATCTGCATAGATGTGTAAACTCTCCGTTATTCCTATACGTCTCATCCTTAGAATACTATTGATCTAAGTAAACTACAATATAAAGGCGACAACACTCTCTATTCTACAGCCCTTTGAAACCTAAATGCAGCAACGGTTACCATTATCCCCGTGAATCGTAACTTACCTCATCATTTGGGTGGGAACATCAAGAGAAAAGGGTGGGAAAATATTCGCCTCCTGTCATTATTAAAATTAAGATTATCAGTACACTGCGCTAGCATAATCTTCAATTTTATAACATGACAGGAGGCTTCATATTTGCATTTTTAACGCTTATGCAGAAGGGAGAATGCGGTATTAGACGACTGTCGGAAGTAAAAAGTCCGGAATGTCGATTCGCGAGACCAGTCCGCTGCTTGGAGAATATCCGCCAATGGTGCTCCTGCCAAAAAAGCTGACGACGACGACGCCGCACCTCTTACGGAGTGCGCTCCGAAAGACGATTCCACCCCGACCAGGGTGAGGATCCATCTAATCCATCTGGATAGTGTGGTGGTCGAGACTGGACCATGAGGTTTCACGTATGATATCAGTAATTGTCGAGAGTTTGGTCGGCGTAGCGTCTCCGTTGTCTCCATATATGTTCTCAATGCCCTAACCACACATAGTTGAGGTTCCGATGTAAAGAACGGGTAAAATATCGACTTCGAATCAGTGTTGGTTCTCCGGGAGAGTTGGAATGTAACCCCATCCGGGCCAATAGAAAAGGCATCAGCATCAAACGCCCGTACATCTGAGACACGGCGAAATGAGACCAGGCTCAGTAGAAAGGTGAATTTCGCTGTCAGCTGTTTCAAGGATAGGTGTTCATTTGAAGGCCATTCCCTCAGGAATCGAAGTACCATATCCACATCCCAGAGATGCTGATATTTTGGTGTCGGAGGGCGTCTCATTTTAATCCCCCGTAGTAGTCGACAAACCAAAGGATCCTGTCCGATTGCTCTCCCCTGGGATGGAACGTGAGCTGCAGATATGATATGATCCCTGAGCAGGTATGGGTCGTTCGGTAGGAGGAGTGGATCGTTGCACGATAATTCGAGTAGGTCGGGGAACCAGGGCTGGCTCTGCCATAATGGTGTCAATAGTGTTAGCATCACTTCCCGTTGTCGAACGTGATGAACTACTCTCGCAATCATTGCGAATGGAGGGAAGGCATACGCCCCCTGTCTTGGCCAATGTTGAGTGAATGCATCCACCGCTACGCACTCCGGGTCCGGGAGCCAGCTGTAAAATCTCGGCAGTTGACGGTTGTTGCGTGACGCGAAGAGGTCGAGGGTGAACGGTCCCCTCTGTTCGTTCAGTTGAGCGAATACCTTGGGGCTCAATTGCCAATCGCTGGCGTCTCTCCAGTGTCGTGCGTACCAGTCCGCGGTGAAGTTCGATTCCCCTGGTAGGTGCTCGGCCTTGATCGAGATGTTGCGTGGGAGGCAATAGTCAAAGATCTCTTTCGTCAGATTGGCTAATGTTTGGGAGTGTGTCCCTCCCAGGTGGTTGATGTAGCGTACCGCGAAAAAGTTGTCCATCCGCAATAGGATACAGCAATTGGATTGTCCTTTTGCCAGGCTGCGAATGGCGAAGGATCCGGCTAATAACTCCAGACCGTTGATGTGCATGGTGAGTTCCTGGTTCGTCCAGATCCCACCTGTGGACGTAGATCCATCTGTGGCGCCCCATCCCCATTGGCTCGCATCAGATTCCAGAATGAAGTCCGGGTGACTGCCGAAAATGGCTCGACCATTCCATGCCTGCATGCAGTTGAGTCACCATTCGAGTTCCTGGCGGACCTCGTTCGTCAGGGAAACCGGCTGGTTGTATGTGGGATTTTGTCTGAGGAAGCGGGCTTTCAAACGTTGCATGGCCCGATAATGTAGCGGTCCTGGAAATATGGCCTGGATGGAGGAGGATAGCAGACCCACAATCCGTGCTAGTTGTCGGAGGGGAATGGATTCGAGTTTGAGGATGTTGCGTATCTCTTTTCTGATGGCCGCTACTTTAGTCTTCGGCAAGTGTAGAGTGCAGGATCTGGAGTCTATGTCGAAGCCCAGGAATTGAACCGTGCGTTTGGGAGTCAATGCAGATTTCTCTTTGTTGACAATAAATCCCAGAGATTCTATCAATTGAATCGTGTATTCGGTGTGACGTGAGGCTTTGTCGCTCGTGTTGCAGAATATGAGTATTCAGCATTTTCGTGAAGCACCAGGGGGCTGAGCTGAGGCCGAAAGGGAGGCAGGTGAATTGTCACGGGGATCCGTGCCATAGGAAAAGAAGGAGTGGACAGCTATCTATGTGAATAGGGATCGATAGGTATGCGTCTTTGAGATCCAGATGTGTAAACCAGTCCCTTTCTTGTAACAAGTCCCTTAGAAGATGGATGCCTTCCATCTTGAAATGGCGATAGACTACGTGGGCATTCAGGTCCCGTAAATTGATCACCGGTCAGAAGTCTCCGGTCTTTTTTCGCATGAGGAACATGTTGCTGAAGTAACCCCCCGGGGTGTGTGCGGGCTGTATCGCGCCCTTTTTGAGGAGTTCGCCTAGTTCCAACTCTATGAGTTGGGAGTCCGTGGTGGTGAGGCATAGGGGCCGTGGAGGCCCGTGTTGCACGGGGCGTGATTGCAGTTTGATGCGATAGCCCCCGACCGTTTGCAACACCCATGCGTCCGTGGTGAGACCTGCCCAATTCTGGGAAAAAAGAGAAACACGGCCAGCAGTCATGGTTATTAAAGACATAGGTGTGTTTGGTTTCCTTACCTGTGGGAAATCTTGCGCGGGTGCATCCGCGGGCTCCCCGGCCTCTATCCGTTCCCCTTTGGAAGTGGGAGTAGGACTGCCTCGTTCCCGAGTCCGGATAGGACAGTTGTGGGTAAAACTGTTGCGGAGGTCCAGTGCGGGCGCCTGATGGCCAGAAGCGGCTGGTGGCATGGCCCCGCTGCCGACCAGCCCTTGAAAAAACACCCCTGGAGGGGTTGCCTCTGAAGACCTTTCTCATAGAGGTACGAGCCTTGTTTAGGGACGTGAACACATTCACGTGTTTATTGAGCTCCTTCATAAACGCCTCTCCGAAAAGTTTGCCCTGTGCTTGGGGGCCTAATTATTTTACCGCAAGGTCGGCCAGCTTTGGGTCAATTCAAAACAGTGCTGCGCGGCGCCGTTCTGTTGAAAGGGCCGCATTCGTGTTCCCCAGGAAGCAGAAGCCCCGCTGGCTCCACTCTCTAATATCATGCGCCCAGTTACGCACCATGTCCGCGGTAAACAAGTCCGCTCTGGTATAGGCATCATCAGCCAAATACATCAATCGGGCTAGCGGCCCCATCGCATCCAAGAGCTTGTCTTGCGCCCCTTTAAAGCTCCGTTCGATCCCCCTGCGTGGATCGCGACCACCTCTTTCCATAAACGTCAGCATGAGCTGATCAAACTCTGGCGTAAACGCCACTTTGTCTGGCAGGGAAGGTCTAGGGCACTCAGCCCGCATCCTCTTACGGACGTGCTTCTCGAGCGGTTTCCGAATCCAGAAGTGCATGAACTTCACAAGGTGGTCGGGTGCAGCCCACTCCCCGGAGCGGGTGTGGCGTATATTCCTGGGATCAAACATGCGTTGTCCCGTAGTATCCAGGAAGGTCTCTTGCTCCTGGCTAGCAGATGTCATGGAAGACTCTGCCAATCCTTTCTTCTGGGGCTCACCCAGGAATGTCTCTGTGACATAGGCGTTGGATCCCCAATCGCCGTCGTCCGAATCCGAAGCCTCTGCCTGCCACTCATCCAGGACGGACAGGGTATGGGGCATCTCTTCTTCCTCCTCCGAGGAGGCTTCGGGAAATGTTGTAGGCACGGGTGTTAATTGTGCATGACGCTTGAGAGGTGCTTTGCCCTTTTTAGGGGCTTTCCGAGACCCTTCGCCCTTCCAGTGGCGCTTCGCTGGGCGCTGTCTCTCTTGGGAGGAATCGTCGGAGTCACCGGACTCGTCTCTGGGGCGACTAGATTTGCCAGGCGGCTTGAGGGTATCAGAGGCCGTCGGGAGCACCAGTGCCATGGCTTTTTCTAGCGATGCGGTTACAGCCGCATTAATCATGGCTTGCATCTGATCCGCGGAAATCTGTGTCTCCTTTTCCATTATGTTAATTAGCTGGCAGGCACAGGTTGGAGAGGCATGGGGACTGTATGGGAGGGTATGAATAAGAGGCCGTCGGCCGTTTAGGGTATAACGCTTAGTAGCGTGGAAGGCGGACTCGCACTGGGGCTCACCCAGTAAAAGAGGGAATTGCTATAGCAAATTCCCGTAAGCAGCACTGATATGGGGGCTCACCCCGTGCCAGAATACTAGTAGAGAACTGACTGGCAATTCCACTCCCTAAGGGTTAATACACCCAAAATACACAGGTCCCCTTTAATGTAAAAGCAACACTCACTTTTGCAGTAGACTTGGTAGTCAAACACCCAGGAGCTCTCCTGACCGCAGGTTTAGTCCACAGTAGCCACAGCACCCACAAGATGGCCCCCGCGATTCTCGCGAGGTCTGGCCCTTTAAAAGCCCGGGAAAAATTTGCGGGGGTTAGAAGGAAAAAGAATGCGTTCGGCAAGTTTGTTCGAACAAACTGCCGAATGCAGGTATGAGACCAGGTGACAATAGACCCCGTTCGTACGCCGAACGCAGCGCACAGGGGTTGTGTGTGAAAAACCTCCGTTCGTGCTGTGTAACACGTGAACGGAGGAGAGGCAGCAATGGGAGGGTATCCCCAGCACCCTGCCGAACCCAAGGAGGAAAAGGCTTCCGTTCGCGCTTTGTAAAGCGCGAACGGAGAGGCAGCACTGGGAGTCTCCCCCGGGCCCTGACTGACTACAGGGTGGGAAACAAACCTCCGTTCGCGCTTTGTAGTGCGCGAACGGAGAAGAGGCAGCACTGGGAGGGCGGCTGTACAGAGGCAGCCCTCCGTGTGTGCGCTGCCTTAGCTTGCCCGGCTTCGTTCACACAGCAGTCTGTGTGAATAGGACGGGCAGGAGCAACAGAGGGTGGCGAACATTGCCATTAGGGGGGAGGGGGGAGGAGGGGGTGAATGGTGGGAAGGAAGGGATTACCTAAACCCTGAGGGAAAAAACCCTCAACAAGTAAAACCTGCCCCACACAAATTAAAGGAGCCCTCACCACCCCCACTACAAATACCAGTCAGTACCTAAAATGACCATAAAATAATAATAAAATAATAATAATAAAGAAGTAGTACTCTGACCTGTACTTGTGATGGAGCAGCAAAGAAAGAGGAAATGATGGGCTTATATATCCTCTGTTTCATTCTGATTGGTTCTTTTCTTTAAGAGTTTTTTCTTTGCTGCTATGGAGCTAGTAAAGAAAGTTAATGCAAATATGAAGCCTCCTGTCATGTTATAAAATTCTAGCCGCGATCAAGAAAGATAGACAAGTCACGCTCCAAGGTAGAACTCTAGTCTAGCACTAGCCAAAGCACAGAATACAGAATAGATCAGCAGTAAATCTATTTAATACTGCACAGATGCATAAAGAACAGAAAATACAAATATATACAAATATCTAGCAAAGTATACAAACCAAAAGCACAAAAAAAGTCGGGTTTTAAATAAATAGTAAGTATTGAAATATATGTCATTACTTACTATATATATATATGCAGCAGACTGCACTATGGAAGTAGTAGGCAGACCGGCGGAGGCAGTGCTCTAGGCAATGTTCTGCAGGGAAACCTTGGGTCCTGGCATTCATGTTTTGTCCCTCCAGGAGGCATAATCACCTAGCAAAGCTAGTGGGTATGTGGCAGCCTCCCAGAGAAATATTTTGCTGAGCAAAAAAATGCTTGTGCTGTGCTCCTGCACAGCAACAGCGTTTTAGCCAATCAAGTGATCAGGAAAGCCATGCAGCTCGTGGCAGCCCTGATCACCTCAGATTTTAAAATGGCAACGTTGATGGAGGACTCCATTTCTGTGTCTGCCACAGATATGGTGGATGTCTCTCCTAGAGACAGCACCATCAACGTTAGAAGGCTCCATAAGAGAGCCTTCCTTGGCAGGGACCTATCCTCTTCATCTTCTGAGGAGGATATAGTCCCAGTTAGTAAAAGAAAAAAGAAGGCTTGCCTTTCCTCTTTAAGTTCTGAGGATGAACTTGATTTTGGTCCCATTTCCCCTCATTCTCGTAGTCAACATTTTAAAGGGACAGTACCTCCAAAAGCGAAACGTGTTTTTCCCGCGTTTCAGGTTTCAAAGCAGTTTTCACACAAAATGGACAAGACTCGTTTGAGTGCTGTCAGACCCTTACCGTCCACCTCAAGAGCGTTTGCTCATTCATCCTCCCTAAGCCGGTCCTGTTCCAGACAGGGATCACCGGAGATTGATTGGGAGTGTGAGGAGGTGGTTCGCTCTGCAACTTCCACTGAACGAGGGAAGTTGAGCAACATTCAGATGGACAGAGTGAGCCTTTTAGGTAAAGTGCTCCCTTTAAAATTATTCCATTCAAGATGGACCATCGAACAAGAGTCAGAAGTCAGGGATTTTGCCAAACTAGCTTTCAGATCACCGCTAGTTAAAGAGGATGATCTCCTCTTTAGAAATCATATTGGTATCCCTGACATTCAGGCACTAATGGCCCCTGAAATTGATCCAGCACTGTTATCCATTACAGGAAGCAGTGTTTCTGCGGATCCCATGGATCGGACATTTCGCAATGTACAATTTAAAATTGCGGATGCTGTTGGTCCCCTGCTGCTTATGTTGGATAAGGCAGAGAAGGAGGAATCCTCGCATAACCCTTCTCAACCAGCTTTACTGGCATCTAAGATGGCACTTCTAAAAGCTTCAAGTAGAGTGGTGCTTATTATCGGTCAATCCTTCAACTAGATTTCTAACATTCACAGCAGGGATGTCTGATTTAGCACCTAAATCACATAAATTCCCTAATTTTGCAAACTCCTTTCTATATGGCTCCTCTTTTATACAAGAGGTGAAAGGACAATATAAGTCTAAGAGATCTTTCACTGATTTAAAGAAGAGCTTTCCAATCTACAAGAAGCCCTTTTTTGACCGAGGGTCATTCCTACAGGGCTAGAGGTTCGTCCCAGGAAGTTACTCAGCAAGCCCACTTTCGTCACCATGGGGGAAAGTCAAGACCCCCAGGCAGTAGCAGAGGAGCCCATGCCAGACGTGGCTCATCAGGAAACCAAAGATCCATTCAGATTTTCAAAAGGGGTTTATTACTCCTCATTCAGTTTCCTTTCCAGAGTCAAGTTCTGGGCAGAGAGGTAAATCCAGTTCTAGATTCCTCTCTTTCCCACGCATTAGCTTAGGGAAAAATAGAATTGGATCAGTCCCTTGTTCCCTATTCCAAAATCAGACGGCACGTGGAGACTAGTATTAAATGTCAAGGCTTTGAATGCTTTCCTAAAGAGGAAAAGATTCAGGATGGAAGGTTTAACAGACCTCCCAGGCCTAGTGCAGAAAAAATGTCTTCTGCATAAAATTAGACTTCAAAGATGCTTTCCATTCAGTTCCTATCACTATGAAACACAGGCACTTTGTCAGATTCCGCTGGAAGGAACAGATATATCACTGGACTGTAATGGTGTTTGGCCTATCCAACACATCTTACACATTTTCCAGGATAATGAAAGCTATTATATCCCACATCAGGCAAAGATGATTTCTATTCTTTTATTACTTAGATGACATCCTGTTGTTGAATCCAGAGGTAGATGCTCTCATTCAGCAGAGAGATTACCTAATTTCCTTATTACAGGATCTGAGGTTTACTGTAAATCTGCAAAAATCCATACTAGTCCCTACTCGGAATATCCTATTTTTGGGTTTCATGCTGAACAATATGGATATGACCTTGGGTGTTCCCCCGAGATAAATGGGAAAAAATCCTAGCTCAGTAAACTTCAGCTCTTTTAAAACACAGATGGTCCCTAAGAGAAATAGCAAAGACTATTGGGAGGCTGATAGCTTTAACACTGGGTTATGATGCTTCCCCCTTGATGTGCAGATGAAGTCAGCTTTTTCTAGGAAACCAACTGAGATGAGGTGGCCAGTGGGGGTCAAGGGTGGTCCTTCCCACGAGTGTCAGAAAAGATATTGGAAGGAGCAAGTCCACTTCCTCGCCCCCTTCTTCGAGTTAACCTTGACCACAGATGCTTCTACCAAGGGATGGAGTGCTTTCTCTGCCCAAGGCGCGATAAGTGGAGTTTGGTCAGTTCAAGAAAGGCTTCTCCACATAAACTTACTAGAGTTGAGAACAATCAGATTAGCCCTCCAAGGCCTCATTCCGTTGAACCCCCTAGGTGTGTCGGTAATAGTTCAATCAGACAACAGGACAGTGGTAGCTTATGTCAACCACAGAGGGGGCACAAAGTCAAAAGGTCTTTGCCTAGAGGCCATGGACCTGTGGTCCTGGGCTCTGGTTCACAAAGTCTGAATTTTGGCAGTTCAAGTACCAGGAGAGGCAAACGAACTGGAGGATTCCCTGTCCCGCCAGCGTTTGTCCCTTGCTACTGTCCAGTTAAAGAGTGACTTATTTCAGCTGATAGAGAGCAGATTGGGCAAGAGACAGATAGATCTTTTTGCATCTCAGACCTCGGCTCAGACTCCCAACTTTGTAACCAGGACTTGGGCAAAAGGAGCTTGGAAGATGGATGTGATGTCCTTCCAATAGACAGACATTCCAGGCCTTTACACTTTTTCCCCTCCATCTATTCTGATGAAGGTGTTAGAGAAATTTTGCAGGGACAGGGTGCCCAATATAGTTTTAGTGTTCCCACATTTGGACCTCCAGACCAACCTCTAATCAGGGGACCAACGGTTCCATTAGGCTGGACGGTGGATTGCTTCCTAGGGACCAGGGATCTCTTAACCAACTTCCCCCAACTTATGTGGATGGCAGCCCTGGTAGGCTTTTAACGCATCCTCTTCTGTCTGACCGGGTTTTAGACATAGTTAATTCTTCATTACGGCGCAGGACCAGGGTAAGATACAAATAGATGATCGAGGAATTTAAAGCATGGGAAGTTTCCTTTAATTCCCTTTCCCATGAATCTGACACAATTCCCTTAGCTTTGGGATTCCTCACACTCAAATATCATTCAGGGTTAGCGGTCAGTACGATTAAGACGTATGGTTCTACATTAAATTTTCTAATCCCTAATCTGACTCAAGACGCATATTAACTCAGGTTACTCAAAGGGCTATCAGTCTGCCAGCCTTTTACTCCGAGATACACTTCCACTTGGGATGTGGACCTTTTATTAAACTACCTTAATTCTTTGGACATTTACCAGATTGACCTAAGATGGACAGCGATTAAATTGGCAGGCTCAGAATTAACCCAGTTAAATATTGTCGAACCATGGTTGTCTCGAACTCCAGGGGGATTTCATGTTATCCTTAAAGGGAGACAAAGAATTCCCATATTTTCCCGGGTCCTGTAGAACTAGATTTGGTGCAGGATTCTGCTGAGCCGAGTTTATGCTTAGTTAATTTGTTAAATTCATACTTGAATCTTTCTGCCCCAGTCAGACAAGACTTTATGCAATTACTTATCAACTCCAGAAAACCTTTTAGGCCAGCTAAGGTTAACACAATCAAGGGTTGGATACTCTCCGCTATGTCTGCAGTGGGTATTGATGTCACGGTTTTTAAAAGTCATTCTAACAGAGGGGCTTCAACTTCAAAAGCAGCAGCGAGAGGCCTTCCTCTTCCTATTATCCTATTAAAGCTGCAAGATGTCTTCCAGTAAGACTTTCGTTAAGTTTTACTGGAGGCCATCTGATGTTGAACGTTTACAATTCCTTAGGGCTACCACCAGGTGTGTGTTATTCAACCCACTAGTTTTGCTAGGTGGTTATGCCTCCTGGAGGGAAAAAATAGAGTTTGCAGGAATCGATGACCTGCAAATTTTCTTTGTCCTAGGGATAAGCATAACCACCTAGCAAAGCGTCCATCCCTCCCCAGGTTTATTTGTAGTGTCTGGTAGTGGCAGGGTATTTCTCTGGTTTGGAAATCTTCTCATTAAAGTAATATTGTGTGTTTGTTTTTTTGCTTATATAGTTGTATTTATTCTATTTATCTTTACAGATTACAACTGGCTACCCAGACAGGATCATCAAGCCAAGGACCCTCCTAAATAGCTCTGGAGGTTAAGAAACTGAGTTATACTATACAAATATTTCTCACAAAGACTGTTTGTTTTTTCACCTTATGATCAAAGATTGTTTTGTTACATTTTCATATGTTACTATTAACTGATCACGGCTGCCACAAGCTGCACGGCTGTCCTGAGCACCTGATTGGCCAAAACGCTGTTTTTGTGCAAAATATTTCTCCGGGAGTCTGCCACATACCCACTAGTTTTGCTAGGTGGTTATGCTTATCCCTAGGACAAAGAAAGTTTGCAGGTCATCGATTCCTGCAAACTCTATTAATGTTAATTTGACACATACCACCACCTTAGGGATTGTTCTGTTGCAGACCACGTAACTCCTTAATGCAATGTGTGTATCTGTGTATCAAAAGAATACAATAAAAGATATAAATATGAATGGAAGCACTGAAGATGGAAAGCCACCTTCATGCACACAAAAGGTAAGAACAGGAGGGTGTGCTAGAGTGTGTATGTCTGTGTATCTGTATATGTGTCATTGTGTGTTTCTGTGTGTCTGTATCTGTATGTGTAAACACAAAAGGGAATTGGTGGCACAACTGGAACTTGCATCTTGCAGGAATAGTGCTTCCATGGTGACCAAAAATAGGGATTGTCCCACCAAAATTGGGACAGTTGCGAGGTCTGGATTACAGGTTAAGCCACTTATAAATATTTTCATTCATTGGAAATTCTTCAAACAAAATAGTGAAAGTGGACCTTAATAGAGATGGAATATTTGTAAAGGTCTAAGTAGCCTTTCATGGAGGAATATGATAGCATATAAAGCGATGTTGTTTCAGAGCACAGCAGATGTGGAACCACTCAACATGGCCACCAAATGGTGCCCTCCCTGTTTAAAATTTTACTTGTTGAAACTCTTAGGACGTCTGATGGATTGATAATAATCCACTGACACTGGATATTGTAGTGCGGCTCCAGCAGTTAGATGTTGTCACAAATGTGTTTCTTTATTAAGTTCACTCTTAAGTCTCTTCCTGCTCTCTCAATCTCTCTCAATGAATTAAATAACAAAGACCAGCCGTCTATATAGACATCTCACTGACCTCATCAGCTGAAAATGGCTAGATTTCAAACTAGCCGTCTATCTAGACATGTAAATGACCTCATCAGCTGAAAATGGCTAGATTTCCTGCAAATTCAGGTCATTCCAGAAATATGCATGTACTCTTGCAGTTGATGCAAAGACACAAAAGTCGTCAATAAGATAAATATATCAGGGCAGTGAGAGAACAAATGTGTTAGTTTTGCTATATTTATTCATTGATTCAGATGTGTTTTATCACGTACTTTGTTTCCTCAATCCCTTATTTAGAGAATACTTTACAAAACCTGGATTTCAGGGTGTCATGTTACATGTACAATTAACTTTTAGAATATCGAGCATTTTAAATTAGTTGATATTGTGTACTGATTGCTTTAGAACGACTATCGGTGATGGACAGAGAAAATTATTTTTAAATGTATTAATTCATCTTCTGCAAAACTAATTATAGGATATATAATATTAATGATTACAGGGACACTCCAGACACTAGCACAATTGCACTTTATAGCTTGACCTCAATTATCCATATTGTACATGCTCAATTTTGTATAGTTTTTTGGAAAAACAAAAAATAATTTGCAGCTTTCTGCATTTCTACAATTTTCTGGGCTTTTCGGTTTGGTGCAGTACCTCACAGTA